GTTTACCCAGTGAACCATCTTCCAGGCCTTGTTCCAGTTTTCCCTGGGCAGTGGCAGTGACACCCTGTGAAGTCAGAGATTTGGGCTGACAATGATGTCACATCCCTCCACCCAGTGTGGCCTCCTGGAACTTCTGAGCTCTGAGTTCCACCTCCAACCTATCGTGAGGCCACCAGAGGCTGCTGGAGACAGGCAGAGGAGGCAGGCTGAGCTGGCCCTCCCACTGTGCTTGCTGCCCCCATTCTGGCCCAGGTGTGTCACCTCAAGCCAAGGTGCGTGTTCATGCTTCCACACAGGGCCACCCCAGAACCCCGGCAGGCCAGGAATGATGATGTCTGTGTCGGGAAATGACAGAAGAGCTGGGCCGGGTCACACCCTGGACTCTTAATGTAGAACCACAGACAGGTACTAGCCAGCAAGAGGCCAAGGTTTTCTGTTATGTTTTGAGGCAGGGTCTTGCTCTGTAGCCCAGGCTGGCCCTGAACTATCAATCCTCCAGCCTCAGCCTCCACAGTACTAGAATTACAGGTGTGGTGTCACCGTGCCCAGGCAAGAAACAAAAGATTTTTCTACCAGGGCCCAGCGTGCATCTGGGAACCTGGCTGCTGTCCTCCCTGGCCATGGCCAGCCCAGGTTTGAAGTGGTGGTGGCCCATGTCTGTGGTGGCCCCAGAGGCCAGCGCAAAGGCAGCGTAGGTCCAGGCTGGAACGTCTACTCCACAGAACCCATGACCCACCTATGACATACTCGCCAAAGCAGAGTGGATAGAGAGGGAAGCCCGCTAGGCGGAAGGGACAGCACACGAGACAGCTCAGAGAATGGAAGCTTAGGCTCTGGGACACAAGGCAGTTTTGGTAAGGGTCATAGTGGGAAGGGCTTTTTCCACAGTCAGAAACTTAAGGAAGTCGTGTGTTGGGGAATCAATGGTGGGGTCAGGGAAAAGAAAGGCCATGGCAGTTTGGCTCAGACACACCTTTCTCATAAGTCCAGGATGCCAGGACGGCACTAAAAGTCACACCACCAGTCAACTCCCACCTGGCCTCCAGTCACATATAGGAACACAGCCAACCTGGCTGGGTCACCCAGAGTTACAGGAGAAGCCTGAAATAAGGATTTTTATATGAAATCACCTGACCTTTTACTGTTGGCTCAAAAATTTAAAAACACTTTGCAGGCCAAGCAAAACACACATGTGAGCCACATTTGGCCTGCTTCTCATCTCCAGCTATCAGTTCAAAGCCTTTTAAAGTTTCTCTGCGAAGAACATCCTGACTATGGAAGGTCTACACAGCATTGTTCTTGAGGGTCTTGCCCCCGCCCCCACCCCAGCAGATGCACTGGGGCGGGGTGCTGGGAGCAGGATGAGGAAGGGGGAGGGATACTAATTTCCAGTAACAGAAACCCTCTCTTCTGGAGGGAAGGATGCTCTCTGATACCCCAAGTACTAGGGTTAGCATGAGCCTTGAGTATCAGACTTACCAAGGTCACTTGGGGTTCCCCTTAGCTTCCCAGGTGCCCACTGCCTCAGCCCAAAGCGGGAACCTCCATTCTCCTTTCTAAGGATATGTGTGAGTTTTAGGGATTGTGTGAGTAACATCTAGGCAAAGAGTGAGGGGTATGGGCAATGGCTCAAAGCAACACAGTGTCGTTATGTCCACCAGGACCTAGAGGCTGTGGTCCTCCCTCAGTGGCTGCCAGGAGCGGGAGCCTCAGGTGCCTTAGAGTGTGACTCTCCAGCCGAGCCTCCTTTTTTTCTTTTAGATTTTATTATGGAAAATCCCAAATAGACCCAAAAATAGAGAAAATGGCATAAAGACCCACAGTTCTAGAGAGATGACTCAGTGGTTAAGAGTGCTTATTGCTGTTGCAGAGGACCCAAGTTCAGTTCCCAGCACCCACATCAGGCAGCTCACAACCACCTGTAACTCCAGCTCCAGGAGAATCCCACACCTCTGGCCTCCAAGGGCACCTGTACCCACATGCACACACAGTTAAAAATAATAAAATTCAGCTGGGCTTGGTGGCACATGCCTTTAATCACAGGACTCAGGAGGCAGAGGCAGGCAGATCTCTGTGAGTTCAAGATCAGCCTGGTCTACATAGTGAGTTCTAGGACAGCTGGGGCTACAGGGAGACCCTGTCTCAAAAAGACCAAAAAAATAAAAATAAAATTTGGAGCCAGGTGTGGTGGTACATGCCTGTAGTCCTAGTACTTGGGAGGCAGAAGCAGGTAGATTTCTGTGAGTTCAAGGCTGGCCTGGTCTACATAGTGAGTTCCATTCCAGGCCAGCTGGTGCTACAGGGAGACCCTGTTACAAAAGACTAAAATAATAATAATAATAATAATAATAATAATTCTTCAGGTTGGAGAGATGACTCAGTGGTTAAGAGCATTGGTTGCTCTTGCAGAGGACCCAGGTTTGATTCCCCACACCCACATGGTGGCTAACAACCACTTAATAACTCCAGTTCCAGGGGAATCTGACACCCTCTTCTGACCTCCTTGGGCATTGCACAATATGGGTGCACTAACATACATGCAGGTAATACACTAATATACATAAAGTAAAAAATAAAAAACTATTTTAAAAATAATAAATTTCTGGGCCAGGTGTGGTGGTGCACGCCTTTAATCCCAGCACTCGGGAGGCAGAGGCAGGTGGATCTCAATGAGTTCAAGGCCAGCCTGGTCTACATAACAGGGAGACCCTGTCTCAAAAAGACCAATAATAATAATAATAATAATAATAATAATAATTTCTGAAAACAAAACCCACAGCTTTAACAACTACCAGCAAAGAGCCTTACAGCATGCTTTGCCAGCCTCACTGCCCAGTGGACATTTACGCAAATCCCAGGTACCTCCGATCAGCCTTGTAACTCTAACAGTACAGTTGTGGCACCCAGGAAAGGCTGTCTAAAGCCATTGGATACCCAGTAAGTAGTCTTCAAATACAGTGATCCCACTCAGAGGCCTTTTCACTTTCCGTGGTTTCAGCTACCTGAGAGAAACCCTGGTCTGAAAATGTTAAATGGAAAAATCTTAGAAATAAAAATTGAGTAATCATTTGCTGTTCTGAGTAGTGTGATAAAGTCCAGCCTTTCCTGTCCACTCACTGGGACATGAAATTGCCTTTTGTCCAGTGTATCCACACTGTCTATATGCCTGCCTATTAGCCACCTGGGCCATTGGACCAACCATCTCCACTCACTGGGACATGAAATTGCCTTTTGTCCAGTGTATGCACACTGTCTATATGCCTGCCTATTAGCCACCTGGGCCATTGGACCAACCACTGTGGTGCTGACTATACAGTTCAGTGTTGCCCTCATTGTCCCCTAGACATCTTAGAATGCCTCACCCTCAGGTAAGGGGGACACCTGTAATCTCAGTTGTCTCTTATTTAATCACTTTGTTCAGATCACAATCCAAAATCCACACATTACCCTTGGTTGGCATCTTTTTTAATATATAGTTTTAATGTATAGTTTCTTCTTCACCCCCCCGCAGGTATACTTGTTGGAAAAACAAAAACAAAAACCTGTTCTGAGCGCTTTTTGGGAATGGGCCTGCCCTTGGCAAAGGATCTACCCTGTAGCTTGGGGCAAAGTCATGTGGGAAAGCTTGTGAGGCCTCAGGGGAGGGTATGCTAAGGATGTAAAGGGTGTGAGACCTGCTGAGCCAACTGGGCTGTCTGCCAGCATCCCTCCCTCCACAAAGGAGGGGATGAAACTTGCCTGAGAACAAGGGGGTCACACTAAGAAAATGATGTAGCTGTGCTTCTAGGTAAGCCAGGGTATCTGTGTATCTGTCTATGTTCTGTATGTGTGACTATGTCTATGTGCTTATGTGTGTGCACAGTGAGATCCTTGAATAGCCTCTCCAGGAGGGGAGATGGCCAAACAAGATAGGAAAGGCAGAGGACTGGCTGGGTAGAGTCTAGCCACATGAGAGTCCAGCCTCTTTGGGACCTGTGAGGCTGGAGGGGAGCATTGGGACTCACTATAAAGTGGACAGGAACTGACCCTGGAGAAAGATAAGCCTCAGTAGGGACAGGCATCACAGCTGAGCAGGTGCTGGATTCCTGGCCCCTGATAGGTGAATGGGAGAAGCCAAGAGACCGGTCTAGGCCCCTGCCTTCCTCTGATATATCCACATACCTGGCCTTCCCTGGAGGCAGGGCAGGGCCAGGATTCTTGAGGACTCGCCAACCCAAGCCAAATTCACCCCCCCCCTTAAACCGGTATTTATTACAGGAGCTCATAAAAATATTTTGGGACAATTAGAAAACTCAGAGAAAATCTAAAAGTGTACAGCTTCTCAGGGCTCAGCCTCCCTCCCAGCCCCATGCCCACCCCACCCCCGAGGCTTGGCGTGGACACTAACCACCCCCCAGACACTGAGCCCCACACTCGCCTAGCAAGTGGCCAAGTGCTGTTCGTCAGCGACCTGTTGTCATCCTCCCCGCCACATTCTTCGAGGAAGTCATTTTCTTTGACCCATCCCTTCCATTTGAAGAAACTGAGGCCCCAGAGCTAGGGGAGGGGCCTAACTGGAACTCCAGGGAAGTGCGTCTGACTTCATTTACAGCAGCATAGACACTAACACGCGCACACACGCTGCATGAGCACAGACCCACAACATGCTGGTCCTCCTGGACTCCCGAGCTGGCGCTGGCGTGGACACGCCCCTCGGAGGACAGGTCCCTCCGCCTCCTAGGCCCCGCCCTCGGGGCCCTTCCTCCTGCGGGCCTCTAAGGCCACGCCCTCCGGGGCTCCGCCTCCTAGCGATCGTGGCTCCGCCCTGCACTTCCCTCCAGGCCCCGCCCACGAAGGCCCGGTTCTTCCGCCGGCCCCCGAAGCTCCGCTCTCCACCTCCCTCCAGGCCCCGCCCCCAGCGGTCTCG